ATATATATATATACACATACATACATACATACATACATCTGGGCCCAGGGATTTAACTCAGTGGTTCAGGCACCTGCCTCGCAAACTTAAGAGCCCAAGTTCAATCCCTGTACCACAACAAAACAAAAAAATAGAAAAACCCCACATCTTTGGGGGTTTTTTTGTTTTGGGGTTTGGTTTTTTGTGTTTTTTTTGTTGTTGTTTTGTTTTGTTGGTACTGGAAATCCAACTCCGGGACCTTGTGCTTGCAAGGCAGGTGGCGGCACCACTGAGCTAAATTCCTGGCCACATCTTCTTTATCCAGTCACCAATTGATGGGCATTTGGGCTGTTTCCAACATTTAGCTGTTACAAACTGTGCCACTATAAACCTGGGTGTTCATATATCACTGTGGTGTGATGTTTTTAATTATTTTGGGAAGGCATCCAACAAGAGAATAGCTGGATCAAATGGGACTTCTAATCCTAGTTTTTTGTGTTTCCCCCATACCATGAGGATCAAACTCAGGACCTTGCCCTTATGAGGCTGATGGGGCGCTACTGAGCTAAATCCCCATCCCGGATCTTATTTATGATAAGGGAAGTTTATGAGGAATCTTCACACTGATTTCCACAGTGGTTACCCAGTCTACACTCCGAGCAACAGTGGAAAAGGGAGCTCATCTTACTGAAAAACTTCTGCATGGCAAGAGAAACCACCAACAAAGTGAAGAGACAACCCACAGTGTGCGGGAAAAAATTTTTTTACCACCTGTTCCTAGACAAACACCTACTATTTAGAATATACAGGGCTGGGGATTTAGCTCAGTGGTTCCACTGCCGGCCTCACAAGCGCAAGGGCCTGAGTTCGATCCCAGGTACCAAAAAAAGAAAAATCAGATGCCCCAAATTTAAAGACCCAGTCCAAAAATAAGCATCTGAAATGAATAGATATTTATCTGATGAAGTAAAAGCAGCAGATAAACATATGAAAAAATGTTCAACATCACTGGTCATTTGAGAGATGCAAATGAAAACAACGCTGAGATTCCACCTTACTCCAGAAAGAATGGCTGATATCAAAAACAATAACAGCCGGGCGTGGTGGCGCACTCCTGTAATCCCAGCACTCAGTAGGTTGAGGCAGGAGGATCACTGTGAGTTTGAGACCAGTGTGGGCTACACAGTGAGTTCCAGGTCAGTTTCAACTACATAGTGAGACCCTGTCTCAAAAAAAACAAACAAACAAGAAAACCAGTAACAAATGCTGGCAAGAATCATTTCTAAATAGAACAATTTGGTTAAGGCCCTCTGATTATGTTCATTTAAAGGGAAGCTGCTGCCACCCACCACTGCCACCCCGCCAACACACACACTGGGGATTGAACCCAGGTTCTTCTCACTGAGCTATATCCTCCCTCAACCCTTTTTTCTTTTTTCTTTTGGGACAGAGTCTTGCTAAGTTGCTCAAGCTGGGCTTAAACTTGCAATCCTTCTGGCTTAGCCTTCTAAAGAGCTAGAATTACAGATGTGTGCCACCATGCCTGGCTTAAAGTCATATTGTGCAAAAAGTGTGAGGTTTTTTGTTTTTGTTTTTGTTTTTGGTGCTGGGAATCAAACTCAGGACCTTGCACTTAAAAGGCAGGTGCCAGCACCACTGAACTAAATCCCGGCCCCAAGTGTGAGTTCTTATGCCTTTTGTTTGTATGTGTGGTTTTGGATCGAAATGAACTCAGGACCTTAGGGCAGGCCCCATATCGCAGAGCCACAACCTCTATTTTGCTTTTATTTTTAGGAAATACTGCATATCTGTTCTTTTTGTTACCAGCTCTAATAAGTAGATATGATCCGGGTTGTCCTCTATTCTGTCCTCTATCATAACCTAGAAACCCTTGGTAGAGATTCCCAGCGTGTCCAGACTTATGACCCCTCTTTGCTGCAGAGTTTAATTTGTTCTCTTTTCCAGGTTCATATTGAGATCCACTGAAGGCCATCCCCTCCTGCCAGAGGCATCACCCTGGGCTCACCACCACAAAGGACACGAAGCATGAGGGACAGAAGAAGAGGGACCCTCGACACCTGCACAGCCAAAGCAAAAGAGAAGGGAGGAGAGGACCAGGACAGACTGCTGCACAGCCTTAAGAGGAGTGCACCAAAGGGGAGCCTTTGCCCTGCAGATTCCCCTTCCCCGCTGAACGCGCCTATGGGAGACAGAGATGGAAACACACAAAGTGAAGTGCTGTCCTGGAAAGCGGAAGCTGGCCTCATGCTTCCTACCAGTGACAAGGCGTTTCTATACTGGAAGGGATCCTTGGGAAGAAAGTCAGCCCTGGCAATGGTTCCCAGCAAGGCTGTGCATCTGTCCCCCGTCTCTGCATCTGTCCCTGTAGGAGAGTGCCTTGCTGCACTGTCCCACTATGCCAGGGCAGCTTTGCAGAGGGACTGGCCAGGAGGAGGCCCTGGAGTTGCGGACAGCCACAGAGGACAGTGCTGCAGTGGAGAGCCCTGTGCGTCAGCATGGCTGGGCCACATGCAACTGCGGGAAGCAGGAGTTTCCAAGGGTGACCCGCTAAGTGCTCCTCCGAAGGGGCCAGGCTCTGTGTTAGTACTGTCCTGCCTGTGTCCCCTGCTGCTGTCTGAGATGCTGCATACCCATCCTCAAGGCTTCCATAGGGATCAGACAAGATGTGAGCACCTTGACCACCTAAAGCCTGTGCTCTCAGAGCACACAATAGAATACAGGAACATGCTTTCAAGTATAAATTGTACCTCCAGTGGTCTGCAGATAACACTGGGGTTGTTGGCTCTATGACCTTTGAAATTAGCAAATCCTGTAGGCCATAATTAAGGTACAAGCAAAACAATAAAAATAGTAGCTTAATTTTAAAAGTTGTCTTAGAATAACTTTTTTGCATTAAGTCTGGATGCAAACAGAGCAGCCATTCAGTTCCTGCTTTGGTTTGTATGGCTAGACAAACTTTATAAAGTATAAGCTCACTAAAAGCTAGGTAATGCAGAAAGAAATTGTTGAGAACGTTTTAAATTGTGCTTAAAAGACAACAGAATTGGGAACCCTTTCAGGAGATTATTAATATATCCAGTATAATATCAGCTAGAAACTTGGCTTACTATGAAGTTCTTTGTCTCCAATTCCCAATCCAAAGGGCTATTGTCCCAGACATTGTCTGTCTCTTTAGCTGTCCTGTCACCAAATGGAAGTGGATACTCGTAAAGTTTACCTGCTGTACTTTTATGAAGCCTTGCTGAGTACGTGGTGAGCTGTTACTATTTCTGCATTTTGTAGAATAATTTTGGTTTGCAGCAAAATTTGATTTCTCACACTCCTTTCTTTCTACTTGAAATGCAGTTTCAATGGAGGCCCTATGGTGAAAGTTGCAATATTGAATTTAGAATAATCTTCTCAAACTAGGATCCTAGCAGTGTTACCCTAAGAAAAAGGAGCTTGATTCTGCTGTAGCTCAGATATAGAGGCAAATGAAGTATTTTCCTGTACAAAATCCCAGAGCCAAGGATTTGAGGTCTGTTTTACACTAAGACTTTTCTGAAGTAACTTGTTTGTTGATAACTTAAATAAAGGTCACTTAAGAGTAACTTTTTAAGGACTCCCAAAGTGAAGCTTAAAATAGTCATTTTGGGAATGATTGCTTATATCAGTTTGTATTGTGTGTTAAATTACTATGCTGTGTACTATTTTAGTGTTTTGGGAAAATGGAGAATAAAGTCTGTTCTTTAGCATAATAAATGTCTTATTTTAACATGTGTACTCTTCGTTCTTGTATTTTTATTAATGTCATCTTCTAGTATTCTGTGTGTGTGTGTGTGTGTGTGTGTGTGTGTGATAGAGGATTGAATCCAGGGTCTTCACACTGAGCTACATCCCTAGCCTTTTTTTTTTTTTTTTTTTTTGAGTCAGAGTCTTTCTGTGTTGCCCAGGTAGGACTCGAACTTTTAATCCTCCTGTAATCCCAAAGTACTGGGATTACAGTTGTGCACACCTGTGCCTGGCTTACTTACACATCTTTTAGCACCAGGCAAAGTGGGTTGCTGCCATAGAGACCAGAAGCAGAGCTTGAAAAACAATGTGCCAAGCATAGTCTGAGCTACATTATGAGTTCGAGGCCATCCAAGTACAGCGTGGGACCCAGTCTCGGAAAACCAAACCAAGCCAAATGGAAGGCTAGATTGGAGAACGCTGACTTTCCTCCTAGTTGAAGACAAGGGTGAAGTCAAGGCATGTGCTATGCTGGGGTGGGGGCTTGCAAAACAGCTGCCTCCAACGCTGCCAGATGACACCATCCCGACTGAGCAACCTCCCTTCCGGGATCACTAGTGGGTTATGAAATGAGATGGGGACACACATGTTTTAAAATGGGAACTGGTTTCTTGTCAAGCGCTTCTTTTACCTTTCTTCCCCTTTTGGGATGGAAGTTTCCATGACTTGTGAACTATTTTATTTCTTTTGTAAGTTGCAAGTACAGTATATAAATGTTCAACTCATTGCTAAAAAAAAGTACAGAATTCTCTTGTACCAAATGCCAGGAAATGTAAAACGTTTTTATACCATTATTTTAGAAGAATGTGTGTGTTTCCTACAGGTGATCTTGAGGGGAAGTTCACGCTTTTTCTTCACAATTGTTTTGTGCTGATAGAGTTTGAGACAGATTTTCCCTTTGTTGTTGGGCTGGTTTCCTGTCTAAAGATGTCCTCTCTTGTAAAAAGTTCTAGGGAGAAACGGATGCTAAATGTGCCAATAAAGTTTTGAGATTGCAAAAAAAAGGCACATATTTATTTTTGACATGATCACTATGAAAAGGTATTTTAAACTGGGTGTAGTGGTGCACGCCTATAATCTGAGCACTTGGGAGGCTGAGGCAAAAGGATTGCAGCAAATCTGAGGCCAGCCTGGGCTACATAGCAAGACCCTGGGTCATTACACAAAAGATCTTCAGATAAATATCCTTAATTGAATTATAAAGGAAGTCACTCACTTAAAAAGAACAGTTCTTAAATTTATATGCTTTCTACCATTCTCTTAAATGTTGAACAGTATGCTCATTTTAAATTTAGAAACAATGCATAATACAAAGTTGGTTATCACATTTGGAAATCATGATATCCTTTTTTTCTTGGACATTGTACTGAATGATGAAGCCTTGAAATAATTTTGGAAGTTACAAACCTGGTGTGAATAAAAAGTAAATTAAGAAACTTGTATTTAGTGTGCTATACAGATGTGCAAACTCCCCATGATAAATGTCCTAATCATGTTCAACAAACATGGACTATAAAAAAAAGACTTTGCTGTATTTTGATACAGAATGAGAAATGTACTGTAGAATTCTTTCTATGTATTTCATTGGTAATTGGTGAGTTTTTTTTATTTATTTATTTATTTATTTATTTATTTATTTATTTATTTATTTATTTATCTCAGTACCAGAAATCAAACTTAGGACCTTGCACTTGCCAGGGAGGTGAGGCACTGCTGAGCTACATCCCCAGTTGTGGTAAGTTCTTTTAAACTTTCCGAGCAGAAAGAAAATAGGATCCATGGGGCCAGGGATTTAGCTCTGATTCTGCCGCTTGCCTCACAAGCACAAGGACCCAAGTTTGATCCCTGCTACCAAAAACAAAAACTTGTTTATGAACACAGAACTCCTTTTCTATATTGCCAAGTGGTCTGTGATCATCTGTACAGCAAAACACGAGAAGCCTAAGGTCTAATGTTACACATGAGTTAAAAGCTGCTTTCATTTGACTCCTCTTTGCTTCCAGATTATATTTTTGCCCCATCATTTTTCATAACTGATGCTGGGATGGGTGGTGCATGCCTATAATTCCAGCATTCTGGGAGGCTCAGGCAGGAAAATCCCAAATTCAAGCCCAGCCTCAACTTAGCAAGACCCTGTCAAAAAAAATACAAGGGCTAGGTATATATCTCAGTGAAAAGTCCATGGGTTCAATTCCCAGTACTGGTGGGGGGAACCAAACTGATAAAACCAATTAAAGAGACATCTGTTTTCCTTAACTCAAATCTACACTGTTCATTGAGAGCTGTATAGTATTTGTAAAATGAAAAACTTGGAAACGATTATTTCCTAAGTGCTTTCTTAAAAAAGGTAAACTTCATAAGATGAACTTGTCCTTTTTCTTAAATAAATAGTACTGCTTTCATGGAGCACAGGAAGACTTTTTCTTCTACTTGAAATTAAACCCAGGGCTTTTGCACTAAGCTATATCCCTAGCCCCCTTTTTGGTTTATTTTAAGACAAGATCTCACTAAACTGACTTGCTGAGGCTGGGTCTGGACTTGCCAAGATCCTCCTGCCTCAACCTCTCAGAGTGCTGGGATTATAGGTGTGTATCATACCCCTAGCTTTGATTGTTTTTGAGTAGATTGTAGTTATTTTAAAAAATTGTTTCATGATATACGTAAGCAGTAGAGTGTGTGCTTAGTAGGCATAAAGGCTGGAGTCCATTCTCAGCCCTCCCCCCAAAATGTTTAGGTGCGTATTTGCAGAAGTTATCTGGGTCTCACCGCAGTATACCACAGCATGGAATTCTCCAAATAACCGTTTAATGCTTTCGGTTTGTTGAGGGGAGAGGACTTAACCTGTTTTCCCTTCTCTTGTTTGCCTACTAAGAGTTCTGACTCTGTTTTCAGAAAATAAATAATAGCCAGGTGTGGTGCACTTGTGTGATCCTCAGTTGGGAGACTGAGTCAGAAAGATTGCCAAATTTGAGCCCTGTCTGGACAACCTAGTGACTTAGGGAGACGCTGTTTCAAATTGAAAGGGTGGGGATGTATGTAGCTCATTCAGTTGGAGAGCCCTCACCCAGTATGTAGGAGGCCTTGGGTTCCTTCCCTAGTACCACACACAGACTCACATAACAGTTGGTACATTTGGAATTTCACCTTCTCTTTCCTATGTGAGGGATTCTTAACCAGATACCTCCCTTTGGTCCCATGTAAATAGTGTGGATTTGAATTGAATACATTATATATTTTTATGTTTCTCTTTATTCCTTGAACTTGTCAGACTGTCTCTTAAGAGGTCTGGGAGATCAGACTCAGACCCCAACTCCTTTTTTGGTCATACTGGGGATGAACCTAGGCCCTTCACAATCAGGTACATCCCCAGCACTTTTTAATTTTATTTTGAATCAGGATCTTGCTAAATTGCTAAGTGGCCCAGGCTGGGCTTGAACACCATCCTCCTGCCTCAGCCCCCAGAATTATAGGTATGGGCCACCATACCCAGTTCATCCTTTCCCCTTTTTAAAAAGACCTGCTTAATTTATACGGTGAATATTACACCAAAACTGACATATTTTTCTGTCAGCCTTGTGTTAGGAACAATGAATGAGTCAGTCTTTCAATCGTAAAAGTGGTAGAAGGTTGGGATTCACCTTTCAGACTTGATTTTTTTTAGGGGGGTACTGGGGATCAAACTTGGGACCTTGCGAGGCAGGTGGCAGCACAGACTTGATCACCTGTGAATCTAGCTCTTTTTTATTTGTAATAGATGGTGGCTTTGGTATTGGTTTGTTGGGAGGAAGAAGGAGGATCCAGAAAAAGCATGAAGCCGTCAAGTTTGTTGTAGGTGAGAGTCATAGAGACTATACCACCTGCCTAAACACTGTCTAGGGTTTAAATCCCATGCACGGATATATTCAGATATTGGCATGACTAACGAAACCCTTTTTTTAAATTGTTTTGAGACAGAGTCTTGCTACATAGCTCAGGCTGGCCTTGAACTCTTGGCAAGCCTCCTGCCTCAGCCTCCTGAGTGCTGTGATTCCAGGCATGTGCCACCATACCTGGCTGTTCTTTTTTCTGATACTGAAGATTGGAGCCAAAGTATCACTGGGCTACATCTCCAGCCTTTTTTTTTTTTTCTTGGTACTGGAGATTGAACTCGGGACCTTGCACTTTTGAGGCAGGTGGCAGAACCACTGTGCTAAATCCCCAGCCCTCCAGTTTATTTATTTATTTATTTTTTTATTTTGAGATGGTCTCACTAAGTCATTAAGTTGCCCAGGCTGCCCTCTAACTTGAGATTCTCCTGCCTCAGCCTCCCAGAGTACTGGGATTATAGGTATGCATCTTAGTGCCCAGCTACATATTGTGTATTAAATTGGCTGATGAGGTTATAAGTGTCTAAGAATACCTAAAAGTCTCCTTAGAGAGTGACCTTTATTAACCTAGGAAATTTTTGTTTCAGTGGAACACTTTCACTTCCCTATGAAGGTGAACCCAGAAGCAGGCCCCAGTGGATTAGGTTGCTACTGTGGGACATTTATTTCTGCAACTACTTAATTTGGGAGAAATGGATGGTTGGAAAGCAGCCCCTTGCATCTGTGTGTATGAAGCTCATATTTGTCACCACAAGAGGGCACAACATGTTCAAATAGGGAGGTTCCATCTTTGGGAAGGCCTGATGTTTTTAGATATTTTGGTTTATTCAAGTTTTTAAGCAAATTATAAATGTAAAAATGCTGGATTTAACCCACATCAATGTAGTGTGTTAACTTCAGTGGGTATAAGGTGTTAAACTTTTCAAGATCATAACTCATTCACCCAATACCTATGGATAGTGATTTAAAACAAAAAGATACCTGTGTTGGAAAAAAATAAAATGTGGCCTTTTTTTGTTTTTATTTTGACATTATTATTATGATTATTTTGCAGGGCTCAAACCCAGGGCTTTGTGCATGCTGAGCAAGTGC